GCTGTCTTAAATCCCAATAACCATATCAGTGAGTTTGTCCCGGTTGAAATTTTTGTAACCAATGAGCAGAGAAGAGTGGCTGAAATTGTCATCGACTTCACGCTTTGCTTTGTCGTGGCCTTCGTTGGAATAGTCACTAATATTTTGGTCCTCGCCGTGTTCACCAAGCAAGGGTTCAAGGACAGCGTGGCGGTCTCCATGACAGTCATAGCCGTCTGGGATTTTCTCAAATGTCTCGGGGGTGCCGCCCAGCGAATGGCCGGTCCTGTCAGCTTGGTGTCCGTCGTAGCGTCCAAAAGCTGGATCAACATTTCTGTTGTGGCCTTCAATTACTTTATTTCTTTTTCATCATACGTGGCTAGCGTCTTGTCAGCATATGTTGCGGTTGAACGTTGTCTTTGCGTTAGCATGCCGTTCAAAGTCAAGGGTCTCATTACGCCCAAAGTAGCTCTCTTTTTTTGTTTACTTATCTCATTTGTTGTCTTCGGCTGCTTCATGGTAATGTTCTTTGTATACGACATCTACTTGGTATACAGCTCCCAGTACAATGCCACAATGTATATCTATTTGAATAATGACTTTTTCTATCGTAACTCAGGCCCATTGTTTAAGTATTACAATCTATCAGGGATAATCTGGCCAACGTCCAGCATTGGAATCATCATGGGCTCAACAGCCATCATTGCATACCATCTTCAAAAGTCATCGCAGTTTCGGTCACGTTCTACAGGTTACGAAACAAGAAATATAGGTCAGCCATCTTGTTTTCCACTAAATACATTGATAAAGTAGAAGTGTCAATAAATCATTTTATTGTTAACTAGGTGTTTATCCAATTAAAAAAATTAAGGTGCTCAGGTGGACTCTATATAAAGGGAATAAAAATAACGTTTGAAATGTTCCAATAAAACTGCTTCGCTTATTCCTGTTTGGTCCAGCCTAGTGCAGAATTTGATGCGCGCAAAGCCGCAATAGTCAATAGGCCAATATGTCTGTCTTGGCAAAATTACTACCCACCCCCACCCGAGCAAAGCAGTCTTCACTGATGGCTCAGTTTGGGATAATTTGAAATTTAAAACAATTTTTAAAAAAAAAAATCAATCTGTTGTAGACTTGGATAAATATGGGTTAAACAGAGCAGGAAAAAAAAAAGGGGGGGGGGCAGGGTTTCAGGGGGGGAAAAAAGATTTGAAAATATTCAATGAAATTTAAAAAAATTTTTAAAAAAAAAAATCAATCGGTTGTAGGCTTGGATAAATAGGGGTTAAACAGAGCAGGAAAAAAAAAAAGGGGGGGGGCAGTGTTTCAGGTGGGGTAAAAAGATTTGAAAATATTCAAATAAGTGTTAGGCCTGCACAGAGGCGTAGCGTGGTGGGGGCAGGGGGGCAGATGTCCCCGGGCGCCAGCTAGTTAGGGGCGCCAAAATGTGCTTTGATATTATTTTATTGATGAAAATAATGGGTTTGAGAGTTAAGAAAAAGGGGTGCTAAAAATGGATCTTGTCCCCGGGCGCCAAACACCCTCGCTACGCCACTGGGCCTGCATAACGGAAACCTAACCCCCATGCTAAAGTTTACTGCTATTATTACAAAAATTTCCATTCTGTACGAAGATTCGCTTTTTTTTTTCTTATTTTCTTTCATTGCTAAGTAACAATCAATATTAGATGATGATAGTCAATGATAGCAATAGTATGGTTAGCAATGACTCAATCTTTATCCATCTTTAAAACAATTATTAGAACAGGGGTGGACCGGGAAGATTCCCGATGGGCCACTAGGACCGGTGGATATAATAAAGATAAAAGTCATGAAGATAGGGCCACTTTTTTTTTTTTTTCCGGGCCGCTTGAACTCCCAGTCCACCCCTGATGGGTACCGTAGTTGAAGCTAACTGTGGGTGGGTGCTGGTAATGCACTTTTGATAGAGCACTTATCTTAAAATTCATATATAATTATATATAAGTGTTGCAGGTGGGGAGACTACACGACAAAAGAGTTTAGGAAATGTACAAAGAAACGGAATGGACTGGAGTTATGTGTTCGGTTATTGTGAGCAGATAAAAATAAAGAAAAGTTAGTGACACAATTAAAAACATGAACGCAACAAAAAATTCTCAAATTTATCGTCAGCACTACCTGATTAGAAAATCATGAATTGAATCACAACGTCATGATTTAAAATAAAAATGTTTAATCAGCTATCGGGATCCTGATCATTTAATCTGTATCTGATTATTGCTATGATGTGTGCGACGATTTTGTGCAAAGGAATAATACAAATAGTACCGTATTATTGCAGAAAGATGAAACTACATTTTTCCAACCTTAGAAATAAACATAACATAACATGTTTGAAACTTTAACTTTAATCGAATACTCGGCACCGACTTAAACTTCCTTGGCTCTTCGGCCCTGCAAACATGGGCGCCCGCAGGTAGGGGCAAGGTGGGGTACTTGCCCCCCCCCCCCCCCCCCCCCCACTTGGCAAAAAAAATTTAAAAAAAACAAAAAAAAAAAACAATAAAAAAAAAAAAAAAAAAAAAAAAAAATGTTTGAAACTTTAACTTTAATCGAATACCCGGCACCGACTTAAACTTCCTTGGCTCTTCGGCCCTGCAAACATGGGCGCCCGCAGGTAGGGGCAAGGTGGGGCACTTGCCCCCCCCCCCCGATTGATTGGATAAAAAAATTTTAGACAAAAATAGACAAAAAAAATTATTAAAGTAAAGAGAAAATAAAGAGAAAGTAACTAAGCTGATGTCTGTCCGTTCGTTCACCATATAAATACGCTACAGTAAATTAAAACTACATTAAAACATTACAAAAATTTTTTTTTTAACATTAGAAAGTTTTCTGCGGGCGCCCATGCCTGCAAATAACATAAATGTGTGTGCATCTTCAGCGCCACAACAGGCTCCTTCCTAGCTACGGGGTAGCACTGCCAATAAGTCATCATGGATCGATCTTTACTTTTTAAAAAAGGTGGGTGGGAGGGAGGTCTAAATGACATTTTCGCTGTCATAAATTTGACATATGTTATTGAAACCCGCCGGGGCTCACCACCAGCACACCCCCCCCCCACTTGATACGCCAGTGGTCGAAGTTGCCTTTATTTATGTGTCTTAATGTTTTTCAGGGGGGGTGGGGGTGGCGGGAAAAATCAGTCCGCCTTGAGCGGAACCAGCTCTAGACTACGCGACTGCATGTTTCCATTTCTACATGATCACTGGCCTCCAGTGCATCTGCTCAGTGGGTACACCGGGTTAAGACGACCAGGTGCTCTTAATCTTCATGCTTTAATTATTTTTTTGATAGAGCCACCCACACTCCCCAAGTGTCTATAAGTAAGTCCCTTGGTTTCTTCATGAAATGTAAGGCCCTATTGTTTCTACACGATACGTATAGGCACTATTATTTATTTATGATATCTATAGATCTTATTTTTTTCTTCACGAAATGCCCTATTGTTTCTGAATTCTACTTCGCGTGGAAAACAATTCACATAATTTAAAAAAATAAAATTCCATATTCTCTCAGTCTCAGACAACTCGGCCAGCTCAGACGTCAAGGGGAATCATAAACCCGCTGGCCAGCAACTGTCGACCCGAGACAAACAAGTGGTCAAGATGTTGCTCGTTGTCATCGGGGTCAACGTCCTGACCCTGACCCCAAGAATCATCCACTACATGGTCAAGTACTTCATCTACGAGTTCTACTTCCTGCGGCTGTACCACAATGTGTTTCTGTGCATCACCTACATCCTGGCAATGTTTGACCTCACCAATGCCGCCGTGAACCTTTTCATTTTCTATCCCATGAGCACCTCGTTCAGGGCTACATTCCACCAGATTTTCTTCTGCTGGTCCAGGACTAAACAAGTCTCAGCAAGTGTGAAAATGATGTCATCCGGTGCCAATCACAAACTATTATGAATCAATTGGCTCAGATTCTGGAATAAGGCTTTTGCCACTTAGTTTTTGTTTTTATAATTTTTAAAATTATAATTTATTAAATGATACCCACTATGTTAGTTACATGTTAACTCTTCTCCCCCTTCCAACATCCATCGAAGGCCGCGGGAACTTAACAGTCGCATGGTTTTCTTGATCACAGAGAAGAGAATATGAGAAGATTTTTTAGATGTCGGGGTCAGCTAGAGCAGTGTTTCTCAAACTTTGGACATGTTTGCGCCTGCACCAGGGACCAGTCACACATTTTTTTGGTGACCTTAATTATGTCGTAAATATTGTTTTTTTAATATGTGATCAGCCAAATTGTGTCTCTATTGGCTATCCCCATTTAATGCTGGGTCATACAAATTTTTTTTAATGTTTTTGAAAGAAACAGTTAAACAGAAGTTTAAAAAAAAATAGATTTATAATTTAAGTCTTTAATTAATAATATAAAAACAAATTTTTGAAGAAAAAATTTTTTTAAAAGGGTGGGATGTCATGATTTATGAAGAAGAAAAACTTGTTTTTAGAAAGTGGGTTTGAAACGAGGAAACATTTAACTTATTTTTCCAGTCTCTTTGCCCATGTTGTGTGGACCAGCAACTTAGACCTCACGGACCAGACTACTTTGGGAAACACTGATCTATTAGATGACTTTAAAATATTTTTTTTTTTTTTTACAGATTGTGAGAATAGGTTTGGTTTATTTTCATTTGTACTGTGTACTGGTCCACAAGATCAATAAATTGATGTGATAAAGTGCCGACAACTCAGGGTAATATTTATAATTTATAGTAGCCAAAAAATTCAAATAGCCTGATTTGCCTTATCCTGTATTTTAGGTCTCCATCCGACCGGCAAAAGTTATATAGTCAAAGAAGTTGGGATATCCTCGAAAGTGAAGTTTTGCAGACGACTACAAGTCAGAACTGAATCTGAATATCTTTCCCCTTCCCTCTCACTTAATTATATAATCTGGATGCTGAGTAAAATCATGACATGTACTTTACTTGTTTCTTTCCAAGAACAACACAACAAAACAATTAAAATGTGACTATTTTATTTGGATCTGCAACATTTAAACAAAATACTTAGGTCTTATTTCACAGAAATGATTGCTCTACAAAAATTACATTGAAATATTTTATGGGATTGTAAGCAGAAAATAACATCCAACTTGGAAAATATTGCACAAAAACTTTGATATAATACTATAGCCAATATAAAAATAATTTGGCACATGATTTTAAAAATAATTATACACTGTATAAGATACAAAATGTTAAACAGTTTTTTAGCACCAGTGGAAATCCTAAATCATAAGTATACTGAAATAGAAACTTGCATAAAGTATGAATATCACATAAAGCTGGCTAAATACTTCTTTGGCACAATAGTTTCAGATTCAAAAGCCAGAGACTCTTAAATTCAAGTAAATTAAATATTATTTCTCAAGCAGGCAAATTTTAGCAGACCAACAATTTAATTATGAAAGTAAAGAAAATAATATTGCTAAAATAGTTTAGCTTTTTAAGGCACTGCAATATTTCAAAAACATGGGGGGGGAAAGCTGGTGTACATTAAAAAAAAAGACATCCAAAACATTGATTGTCTTATGATATATTTTCTTTCATTTAAAAACAAAATTTTGTATAGCTACTATACATAACACATATATCAGAGTTTCAAATTCGATACAGTCTTACAGTTGGTGTAATTTATCATTAACTTTGTTCAGTACCAGTACACATTAGATGCATTCATTTTTTGCCAAATAGTATCAAATTTTTTGTTGAACAATATTCCTTGGAACTATTGTATTTTTGTGATGTACAAAATGTATAAATACTTTTCTATGCCGAAAACTGGATCAACAGCAATGTGGAAAATAAACAAATTAGGATGACATTGTCCTCTTTTTTTTTTTTTTTTTTTGACTACTTGTTCAATTAAGTTATGCCAGGGACTAGCCTCTTATTATTAATTACTGTTATTTCATCATTTTTTTTGTATAAATACTTTTCTATGCCGAAAACTGGATCAACAGCAATGTGGAAAATAAACAAATTAGGATGACATTGTCCTCTTTTTTTTTTTTTCTTCTGACTACTTGTTCAATTAAGTTATGCAAGGGACTAGCATCTTATACTTAATTACTGTTATTTCATCATTTTTTCAGCAAAGGGCACAGAACACAAATGTAAGTTTCTTATCTTATAATCATCTAAATGCTAAATGTATAAAACTACAAATGCAATAGCAATAGCATGCACCACCTATTGAAATACGGACCTACGTGATTATGGTTTTAAAGCTCCCACTAGCCAATTCACAACTCCTTCTTTTCCTCACCCTCCTCACTTGGTTTCTTGTCACCCTCATCAGTGTCTTTCTTTTCCTTCTTTTTATCTGTGGAGATTTCAATATCAGTTCAATACACCTAAAAGAAACTAAAAAATGCTAGATTTCTGTTCTCTAAAAAGGAAGCGATGATAAATCTTAGTTCAAATATATCTTAAATACTTACTGAATTCAGAAATGTAGATCAAAATTCTTGCAACCAGATCAAGGTAACTTTTCTGTGAGAAAAAAAAATCCCATCGGTTCAAAAAATGTATTTTTTATACCGTACATAAATTTACAAACATGCATTTTCATGAGCAATATCAGCCCAACAAAATAATGTTTTCAACACAGCATTAAAATAATACTAGGGGTAAACAGCATTAGCTCCATTAATTATTTCAGTCTTAAACATTGAAGCTCAATTACTGCAGACATTCACAATTACAGGTACAATTAATTTTTTTAATGAAATAGGAAAGAAAAATGGTGAAGAACTTGAAAATGGCCTAATGACAATTAGTAAATATAAATGGTGTTATCATACAATATACAATAACCGCATTTGCAAAAAAATATGGAACTCTTAAAAGGACTTTGGCTAAATGCAGCAAACTTTATAGTTGTCTATTGTAATTACTGGTACATCATATTTCAATTATAAATTCATTTGCTCCTTATTTTGTAATTTTTTTTTGTAGAAAGCAAACTCCATGCCAGGTGTTGAATCATTTGAAGAAACTCAAATCAGAAAGGAATTGAGTACAATATTGGAAATGATCCCAGTAAACGAATAACAATCCAATTAATTGTTTAAGAAACATACCCTAGATGTTGCTTTAGAAAATACAAAGTCTTCAAGCTCAGCTGCTGACTTTGGGACTTGTGACTCAGTTTTTGTTATCTCTTCATGGCTGAAATGAAGTCACAGTTTAAATATTAATCGGCACACAACTCTAGAAAAGGAACTAATTGGTTAAATGCAACCTTCGGGTTAGGGATTTTATTCTTAATGGAGTGATGCCTAATTGAATGACTTTTATTTTTCAATCCTTCATATAAACTTCGCTTTTGTTCTTGTGTTTAAGTTAAGTAAAAAATCTTCGGACCACTAATTGACTCCCTTTCTGTCATCTTTTCAAACTGAAACTTGGCACACACACTCATTGCAGATGGCTACACTTTCTATTAAATTTTCAGCCTGATCCCCCAACAATCGGTTTAAACGCTACCGGATGCCACTGAATTAATGAAATAAAATTACCAATAACTGCGCTAAATGAGTTTCTTAAAAACATGTCAATTGCCTTTGGCATTTAACATTTTCTTTTGTTTTACAGAAATGCTTGGTGTAATAAATCTTGGTGTAAAAGCTGGTGGAGCACTAGTATAATAATAAAGTTCAGGGGCCTGAGTAAAAATATCTGGTTGTGAGCCTTAGGATGGAGGGTCAGCATTTAGTCTAAAAGGACCTCGACACGCATAGACCTGGGTCCCTTTAGACTCAATTTCAATGCCATTCGGATGTCATTTGTGGTAGTTTATTTTAGTTAAACTGAAGAAGTAAGTTTATAAACATATAGTCCATTCAATTATCTTTCATTTAATGTTGTCTCACAACCCAACAATAATATTTTAAATATTTTTTTAATCCCAACCTCTCACGTCTGGGACCCGGGTCCGAATAGCCACTTTGGCTGCATAATAGGCTATATACTTATACACATACTATTATAAATAATTATAATTATACGATTATATGCCATGGAGTAAATTTTTATTGCTATTACTATTTCTAAATTAGCCCAGCCCTTTCAAAATAAACAGCATAAATCAGAATGTTACTGAATAGTGTCAATAATCAGTAGGGTCGCTAACTGTTTGCAAATTTAAAGTCTGCAAAAATTTGACCTGCTGACCTGTCTTTTCTGTGAAAATGTGGTAACAATGTTAAAGTTAATGTCATTAATGTTAAACAACTTGTTACTTTAACTTTCATGCCATGACTCATTTACATTATTAATGGGACATTATCATATCATTATGGATGATTATTCAATAATAAGCCATTATTATACTTATTACATCATAATCACTCATAATTGATCATCATTATATTTTATAATAATGATACTAACACTGTTAATTTCAAATTAGTTTGTATACCGGGCAGGCTACGTCGGCTACGACCCGTACTCAGCCGCACTGTAACTGTAACTATACTATTACTACTAAGCTAACTTTTAATTTAAACAATAAGTCAATAAGTGCAGGCCGGTAGCCCCTTTACACCTCTTTTTTTTTTCTTATTACTTTTCTTATTACTTACATACGTTCAACCACTTTAGTTCTGTATTTTTCAGCCTTCCACTCATCAGACTCTGTACCATCCTCTGGTTCTTGTGGTGTTTGTGAAGGTTGAGATTCTGTGTCAGCCATTTTTTACGAAAACGGATAAGTCTAAATCGTAAATTCAGTATTCAGATCTGGATTGTGGCGTACAGCGAAAAAAGTCAGAGATATATTTTGCCCTTTACTTTTAGAGAATAACTTGAATGAGTAATATATATGTGACTCATCACCTTCAATAACTTTATCGATACTAAACTTATTCATGCATATTTGGATGTTTGACCATAGATATTTCTTTCATAAAAGAATAAATAATTCAGATAAGGTATCATGAAATAATTGTTAATTTAATTAATTTCCGTATTGGTTATAACGACCGTGATTATGCTGAGATACTCAAATACTCAAATTCAAACACCGAATACAACACCAAGTCAAATTAAATTGATACAAAATATTATCATAATATGCATTTATTTTGTCATTATTTGCAATTGTTGTCTTTAGATTTTTATAGTATATTTATTACGTTAATTGTTAATCATATCTAATGAAACATGTAGTAATGTTATGGCATGACTATTCAACCTATTACCTATTCTAATATTCAAATTCAATGTACTAGGATAATGAATTGAACTGAATTAGTTGAAAGAAAAATATGGCTTCTGTTTAAAAAAAAAAAAAAAAAAAAAAAAAAAAAAAAAGTTTTTTATTAAAAAAAAAAAAAAAAAAAAAAAAAAACAACAACACTTAAATACGTATTTAATATTTGAAATGGTGTCTCGTAACAGGGACACGGCAGCCCCGGTTTTCTCAGTATGTCCGCTCTTTCAATGCCTTTCCCGTTTCTGTGGCTTGAAACCCACTAGTGTACTAGATGGTTTTATTCATTTCTTGGGTCATCCACACCTACTGCTTCTGACACTACCACATCTGAAACTACCGCACTGACACCCCCACATCTTACTCTACTGTATCCAGAATCTGACACTATAGCATACGACACTACCACACCCTACACTACCACACACGATACTACCACACCCTACACTACCACACCCTACACTACCACACACGATACTACCACACCCTACACTACCACACCCTACACTACCACACCCTACACTACCACACCCTACACTACCACACCCTACACTACCACACCCTACACTACCACACCCTACACTACCACACCCTACACTACCACACACGACACTACCACACCCTACACTACCACACACGATACTATCAAATCCAAGCCTACCATATTCGAAACTGCTACATCCGACACTACAACATCCGTGCTGTGGTAGATATGAGCTTTGCTTTCTGATACTTTCTTGGTTAATCCACCATTAAAAGTCACCATTTTTGAGGCACCAAGCGTCCGTGGAGGTCAATATTGTCCTAAGCGCCAAATTTACCAACACACAGTAGTCATTTTCTAAATTCCTATGAAAATAAAATGAAATAATCAGTATACCATCCAAGGGTAACTTTGCACCGTCACAAACAATTTTTCAGAAGAAGGAAAAAAAAAAACGTTTACTAGATTAATCAACATTTAGGACACTTTCAGATTTGGTTAATGGCTTCAACATTTCAGTGCGTGACAGCCATATCAAATTTTCGCCGAGTATTGCACCATTTGATATCATAACTAAGGATTATGTGACAAACTTGAGGGGGAATCACGATCTGATCTTCATACAAATTAGATAAAACTAGACTATTTTTAGACAAGAAACAGCGCGAGAAGCTGATGAAATGCGCAACTTTCTCTCTCTCTTTATTCGGAATAAAGCGCTTGACAGGGCTATTACCAGAAGGTGTCTACTATAACTGACCGTCGTATATTGCCTTGGTCATCGTCGCTTTCGAAGGACGAACAACACGAACATGACGTGATGTGACTGGCGACTATTTGCTGAATCAAGCAGCAATCACACGAAGTCACAACGTCCTTCACCGCGCATAACTGTAACTACCGAAGCTTTGTAAATTGGTACTAAATGTTGGCAAAGTTAAGTGGATTGTATGCACATCTCGGTGACGTCAATCATCGATGCCTTTTCTAAGTTAAACTCACCTGGGAGACTCTGGTGGAAATAAAAATATAAGTTTTGCCTAACTTATAGGAAATTATCTCTATTTTGGCTGCAGTCTGCCACATTCTCGAAACTGACGTTTCATGTATGCCTTTAAGGACCCTGATAACTTTAATCCACTATGAATAGTGCGACATGCTCTCGTCCACATTGACTTAATTTCAGCCGTACCCAATGGAAGCACAACTTCGGCCATTCCTCGAAAAATAGCTTATAATCGCTTGGCTTAGAAGAAATAATATTGCTTTGGAAATACATTCTCATTTGTTAGCTTGTATTCACGCTTTTCAGAAGAAAGAAACAAAACAATTATTGAATGTAGATATTCGATTTTCTTGGCATTTTTTCTCGTCCTCGGCATTGAATAGATTTCCTCAAAATGATTTATGATTGGCTGCGGGTGATTGAAGTGAGAAAAATAATAAATTCATATTGCTGAAAAAAAGCCGTCGATGTCATGCAGATAGGTATAATTTTTATTAATCGCTTTAGCTTTTCAATGAATTCGAGTCTAGGTCTGTTTTTAATGTTTCCATAGTATAGACGTGTTGTTTTGATAAAAGTAGACACACAGGGCTGTTTTTTTTGTTTTGTTTTTTTTTGGGTGGGGGGGGGGGGGGTGGGAGGGGGGTTGGCAATTGGGAAATGACTGTCTCGTCGCGTTCATCTTGTCAGGGCCCAAGAGATAGTAGACACACAGGGCTGTTTTTTTTGTTTTGTTTTTTTTTGGGTGGGGGGGGGGTGGGGGGGGAGGGGGGTTGGCAATTGGGAAATGACTGTCTCGTCGCTTTCATCTTGTCAGGGCCCAAGAGACTGAGATGAAATATAACTGTTTGAAGGCCTCACACTCAACATGTATAAAGTTCTCCGAGTCCGACCCACGAAACACGGTATTTCGCAGAGTACACGACTGCACATAGATCGAGGAACCTCGGATTTTATTCTAAACATCATGCCCTCTATTGATGTGAAACGTCATTTTTTTTTTTCAGAAAAAAGATCCAGTCCTCATCGGCTTTTGAATATAGAGGACTATAGAGCATACCGTTGTTTTACACCTGGTTCGGATATTTTGTGACCATACCCGGCGGGCCCGAGACCGGTTGTTACAAAAAAGAGTTTCTGAACCTTTTTTTAGAGCCGCGACCACTTTCAATTTGCCAAGTTGTGGCAACACACAATCAGATTTATACCTTGCAGTTAAGAAACTTGTTGAGAAGGGAGGAGAGAACTTTTTTTTTTGATAGATAGATACAAAGGTTTTGTTGATGTAATTTTGATCTGGGCGGAGGGAACCAGAAATAGGGTGGCCAAGAAGGGTGCAGGGTTCTGTAGAGGAGGCTCTGTAAGTCAATCCCTTGAAATTTTTTTGGATTAATTCCTATAAATGGTTAAAGTTTTACGTAGAAGGCTGACAAATTTTAAGTTTAGGTCCAAAAAATTATAATAATATGCACATGCAACTTAATATAACTTAATTAATATATCGTAACGTCTAAAAATCTAATAGTTCGTCAGTTGAAGTCGACCTTGACCACCTTAATCTTCGAATATGCTAAATGTCACCTTGGTGGTGGGTGCGCAGATGGCTGCTGAGGCCGATTCTGGAATGCGATGTTTTTGCTGGTATCTACCGAACGAATCACGGATTTTATTTTATTTTTATTTCGTCTTAGTGTAGCCAGAGTGTAGTAACACTAAGAAAGTAGCCGATCACTGTAATTGATATTTAAATTTTAAAATAAAATTCAAATAAGAAAAAACTCACCTCTTGCACCCCTCCTACTTCAAAATGACTGTTCAACTAATGAAGGTATTGCACAAATTATTTTCCCATAGTAACTTCAATTTTGTTCGTGGCTGGCAAACTATTAGGACGGCTAATTGACAGAGTTCCCGACAACACATTCTTTCAAATTTTTTAGCCTCACCTCCAACCCAAACAATTTTTTTCCCATGTTTTTCAAGGGAAGTATGAAGGAAATAAGATTTTAAGAAATAAAATTCCTGATAACAGCGGTAAATGAGATTTTTAACAAAAATATATATTGCAAGTGCGTTTGGTGCGTAATATTTTCGTTTGTTTTTCTGAAACAGTTGGTGAAATAAATCTGCGGTCTAAAAGCGGGTGGGTCATTATACTATTAATGAAGTACAGGGGCGTGAAAAGACTGTGCAGTTGAGAACCTTGGGGCGGGGGAGCACTAATTGGGATTCTTATAAAGTGCATTACTTGAATGCATGTTTTGTCTAATTTTCAGCCCTACCCCCATTGCTCGATATGACATTTTATGAAGGATTTATACGATAAAATTTGTTTTTAGGGGTTTATTAATTTATATTGCTGAAAGCTTATTCTTTAATTAATATGATAATAATTTTCTTACGTTTTTTAAAACCTCTTTTTAAAAAAAATATTTTTTTTCAATCCCACCCATGTATGAAAGAAGCATTTGTAATAAAGATTGTATATTTATTTAAACTACACAAGATCGATAAAAATGAAACAGAAATAAGTTTCATTGTTTTTAACATTGCATTCTCGTTACAACTGTTATTATTCTTTTTCAGAGGCCCTGCTTAATAAAGATGATTGTATTAAATTATTAGATAATAAATTATTTTCAGAATTCCATAAAAATCCAGTTATGCTTTTGAGCACAGTTCTTAGTAATTTATATTTTCAGTACTATTTAATTTATCATTACGTTTAGGTTAAGTATAATATTCACGCAGAGGATCAACTACCCTTGCGCGTTTTTGTGCGGCAAATAATACTACATTCTAACATGCTATGCGGAATAAAAAAAATGCTTCAGCAGACGGAAAATAAAATCGATGAAGCTAAACTCGCGTAACTTCTTCTTCTTCTTATGCCTTTTTACCCCGTCTGGGGCATATGCCGCTCACAAGAATTTTACATTCATCACAGTCCTGTGCTTTCCTTTCCAGTTGCTTCCAGGTGTATCCCATATTTTTTTGTGTCTGCCTCTAACTCTAGCTCTAGTATTCTTTGGCTTTGGCCTTCCTCTCCTTATTTTCTACTGTGGATTCATGCTAGCATTTG